CAAATAGATTTCATAGTATTAAAAACATTCTGGAACCTCCTGTGGTCTTTCTGAGTTATTTGTAACTAAGAATTGCTCTTTATCTGTAGTCAAAAAAAAAAAAGAGTGAAAATTTAAGAACTGACATTTTCTGAGGGGTGCCTTGAGTCTGCAAAAGTTGAGAATCGCTGATCTACCACTTAGTCTTGTTTTTATACTTTGTATACCTTTTAGTACTAGATGTTATAAACCCATTCCCTTGGTTCTGGGGCACAGCAAAGAAATCTAGTGAGCCTTCACTTACAACTTCTGTTTAAAATACATTTTCCTTGTTAGCATGTGTGACAGGGGCATGCTTGAGGCCAGACCTCATGCTGGCCTGCCCACCTGTCTCTGGGCTAACTGCCCACCTCACTTTCCTGCCACACCTTGTTGTTTCTTCATTAGTTCTAATTAGGCGGGAAACTGCTCATTCTCACCCTACTGCCAGGGGGCGTTATCTGTGGCTTTGTTCCTCCCCTACATTGCAGCTCAAGCCTCACAGTTGGCATCCATCAGTGGTTTGCACTGGGTCTCTTTCCTAAAATATACATGCAAACAGACAAACAAATACCTACTGGGCTCCAAGCCCTCAGCCCCCTCACTGGGGCTCCACACTGGGGTCTTCCACCCTTTGGGGCTCAGGTGACTACAGCCCTGCTTGACCCTAGGGTCTTATACCCCCACAGCACCCCCTCATTTGGGCTTCACACACTGCCACCCTGTCCAGCTCAGGTGGCCCTAGCCCTGCCTGGCCCCCTGTCAGGGTCCCTGCAGCCACAGGACTCATAAAGAGCCTGGGCACTGCTCCAGGTTCCTCTGCTGACCTGGGCCCTGCTTCAGGACTCTCATGAGCCTGGGCTTCCACTGAATTGGTTGAACCCACCAGGGATGTGGGAGCTGGGGTTACTATGGTGCCTTAACCTGCTTTTCATTGAGGTGATAACTAGCCTGGTATTTCCTGGGGGCTCCTACACCACTGGGAGCACCACCAGACCACCCACTCCTGGCAGGGTGCAGTTTTAGGTGATGCCCAGGACCAAGAGCCTCCTGTCCATCCCCATAAGCTCTTACCTTTACCTCTTGGGTTGTTCCTGCTGCAGCTCAGCTAGATGATGTTTCTGCCTGGGCTGGCAACAGTAAACTGCAGCCTTTATATACCTAGTGTTTCCAAAATGGCTGCCCTCATCAGGCACCTGGTAGCTGCCTGTCTCTGCCCTTAAAATGGCAGCCACCCAAAGGTGACCTGCTACAGCATGCTTGTTAGCAGTTTAGCTGGGACAGAAGGGGAAGGTAAAAAGTGAGTGAATTGAAACTGTCATAGACCCTTTGTGTTCAGGTGTTCTTTCTTTGTTTTTTTCCTTTTTTTTAAGGAAGGACATAATCCTTTTTCTCATTCTAAGTTTCTTCTAAGATGGTATTAAAATTCAATAATGCTTCAGGCTAGGGACAGAAGTTGCACATAAACCTGTTTAAGTGATCAGAACCTGTTTTTAACCTGTAACAGAACATTAGTTCAATGTACAAAAACCAGTTTCAAAATGGCCAAAACCAGTTTGAGATAAACCTGGTTGAATGTAGTATCAGACTTAACTGATTGAGCTCAAACCTATTTATGGAACTTCTGTCCCAGACCCATTCCTGATTTAAGTTAAACCAGAGTCCCCCAGCATCCCAGCATGCTCTGCAGCCCTGGACAGGGCTGTGCTCTCTGCTCCAGCAGAGCAGGGCTGGCCCCACCCCTCTGCTACCTAGCCTGAGCAGGGGCAGGGCAGGGCTAGATGCCAACCCCCCTAAGGTGAAGGGGGCAGGGAAGAGGTTTATTCCCCCTCCCTCTGCTGTCCCACCATCATGGACCCCAGCTGGGGTCTGACAGGCAGGAGTACAACAGTCCCTGCCAGGCATTTCTCTGCTTCCTGCTCCAGTGGCAGGGGCATGGCCAGCCCTAGCAGTAGACTCATTGGCCAGGGAGGGGGTTTAATTCCCCACTCCCAGACCCAAGCTGGGGTCTGCCTGGCGCTCCACTCTTGCTGCTGCAGGGCCATGAGCATGGTGAGACACAGGCTGGTATGGCCCCTAAAGGTGAAGGGGGCAGGGAGCAATCAGCAGAGGTGATGGTTGGGGCTGGCAGACCCTGGATGCAGTCCCCTGAGGGCAGAGGTGGTGGAGGGGGAAATAAACCCCCTCCCTACCCCCTTTATCTCAGAGGACCATGCCAGCCAGTGCCTGACCATGCCAGCCAGTTCCTGACCCCTGCTGCTGTAGCAGCGAGGGGAGAGCAGTAGGTGGACCTAGTGGGACAGGGAGCGGGGAATGAAACCCCCTCCCTGGCCAGTTCACTTAAGGCTACTGCTGGGGCTTGTGATGCCCCGACCCTTCCCAACACAGCTTCCTTGCAGCTGAGGGCCTTCTCTGGCACCCTCCAGCTGCTGACCTGAGCCACTTCAGACATGTGCCTGCATTTCCTGAGTTAAAAATGAATGTCTGTTTACTTGCATATTGGTTCCATCTGGGCAGGTTAGACTAACCTTCAGAGATTGAATCCATTCAGGCTGTAGCTTTTTGAATGTCTTTCCCTAGCCCCAGTTTTTACTTCATTCATGAAGAGATTGTCTATAGATTGGATGTTTAACTATTTAACGTATCAAAGGAAATAAGTATTCTTAATAAGAGTTGAGAAAATATTGTTCAATTACAGTTATATTTGAGGCTAGTGACATTGCTTTTTAATGTGTCAGGCCTGTGTGCTAATCCCTTGTTTGTACATATTTAGTTTGCAGTAATTACTTCTACAGCTTCAGATGTGTGAAAATTTTATGTTGCCATCAGGAATGACTTCATTTTTTAAAATATTGTTTGACTCCCAAGCAAAATCACTTTAACAGTTCCATGTTAGCCATTCATAATTGCCAACAACCTCCCCTCACCCCCACAACTCCATTTTTGGAAACTTACTTCTAAAGAGTTTATTTTTTGACCAGATCTTTGTGGTAGTTATCTACCTTATTGCTTTTTGACGTAAACTTAAGTTATTTTGATATAGCTCAAATCTATAGAAGTAATGCTGTGGAGCCTATGCAGGGTTTGGCCGACATGAGCTATAGAAAGTGGAATTATAAGAAAGAGAGTCTGAACTCCATTAGCCAAGTTTTAATTGTTTCAAGAACTAGTAATAATACAAATGTGTAGTTTTTGTATGTGGAGAAATGAATTACAATTTTTTACTAGGATTTAATGTGTTTGCAAATCATCCATATAGATCTGACACCTTCAAACTACATACATCTACTTAAATGAATAAACTTTTGCTTTATACCTCAGATATTGTGGGACTTAAGGTATTACTCATGTACCTTCCCCTCCCCCCTTTTTCCACTGTGGTGTGAAATAAGGCTGGATTTTCAACACTTACTGTAAATTTCTTTACTTGGTGTTGTAGTCATCTTAAATCTTCATTTGCTTTTGCATAGCTTTCATGCAGTTTAATAGATAATTCATTTCAGTAATATGAACATAAATGAGGAAATTTTAAGTTAGTTTTTTCTGGAGTTATGTGTAAAGAGTTATGTTGTACAGCAATAAAAATGATCAAAGGCCATTCCAAACGTGTGTGAATAAAATCCTTTTTATTTGTAGTTTTCATAATTCTACCCTTTTTTCTCTTTATTTTTTACATAGGGAATGTCCAGATGCAGACTCAGTTGTAAGTAGACTTTTCTCACCTCTGCTCCCCCCCTTCCTGCCTCCCATCAGTTTGCGTGCACTAACTTGGTTAGGGTCTAAACTGCAGCCAAATCTGACTTATGCTGTATTTACTAGGGCTGTCAAACGATTAATAAAATTAATCATAAGATTTTTTTTAAAAATAGTTGTGATTAATCACTATTTTAATTGCACAGTTAAACAATAATAGAATCCCAGTTTATTACAAATATTTTTGGATTTTTTTTCTATATTTTTCAAATAAATTGATTTCAGTTACAACTCAGTGCCATAAGAACAGAGTAGAACTGTGCTAATTTCTGCCTAGTGATTAAGTACAGTAAGTGAAAAGGGTCAACTGCAGCCCCCTGGCACTTGCTGGTACCCCACACTCCTGACCCGCAGCCCCCTGCTTCCCTCAGTAGCATCTTCTGGGGCTGCCTGGCCCCTGCAAGCATGGGCATCAGCCTGGCCACAGAGCTCCCCGCTGCCTTCAAAGGGCCCCCCATCCCATTCACCTGCTGGAGGGGTAGGTGCCTCACCCTGCCCTGCCATAGCCCCAGTGCCTGGATAGCTTCCCCCAGTGCCAGCAGGCACCTGCCCCCCCCTCACACATGTACACTTCCTAGACTGTCCCCAAGCCCTGGCTGTCCAACCCCTGCCCTCTCCCCAACCCATACACTTGCCTGCTTCCCACTGCCAAGTCTGCTCCCAGGATCCTGCATGGCTGCTTGGTTGGTGGGTGGGTGGGGGTGTGCACAAGCACAAACACGCATGCAGTGTGGCAGCAGTGAGGTGGGAAGGACTGCTTTTCCCCCAGTGCACAGGGTCACATAGGCAGCAAAGAGTGAGGAAGGGCCACTTTTCCCCCAGCATGCACGGCCCAGCAGCAGCCCTTAACGTATGTTAAAAAAATAATGCATTAATCGCACCTGTTAATGGTGATTAATTGACAGCCCTAATATTTACTCATATACCACACACATTTTCTCCAAAAATTGGTTCCCCCACAAGTGTTAACTCTTTTCTCTCCTTTTAATGATCTTGATGTTCCAATAATCAAGCTAATAGTTCTTCTGGCAATTTTGCTGTTTGCTAGCTATTCCTAATTTTCCTTCTCCTACTTCACAACCTCGTAGACTGTTTTTAGCTCTTTTCAAAATCTTGTATTTACCAATGGCAACAGTTTTCAGAAGCAGCTAGGGTCTCAGCTTTTGGTTACGCAAGAAGGGGAGGGTGAGTGATCTGACGAGTAGTCCCTGTCCCCTACTCTGTGCAGCCATAACTCTGAAAAAATCTTTTTTTCTTCATTCTGCCTTCTTAAAAACAAGGTGTGTGTCTTTTGGGGGGTGTGGTATGCAAGAAAATATGGTATTAGTTTTGTGAAACAAAAAGATATTCTCGTGACACCATATATGTAATAATCTAATGTATTAGTTGGAAGTAATTTGTAAGCATCTCCATTTTGGCTGGAGATATAGCCATTGGTAGCATACAAAAATAGTCTGTTAAAACAAGACATTTTATTTTAACCACTTACTAATTTAATTTGAAAGGTCAATAGGATCTTAAAGAATTAAACATGTAACATATGCCTTAGCCTTGCATTGTAATCTGCCCATACAAGTGCATCTTTGCACAACCCCATCAGTGCTTTTGTTTCATTGCAACAATTTGTACAAATGGGATGACAATGTAGGTCCAGGCCCTACATTTGTAAATGACTGATACATACCTGAAATTTCTGTGGTCTTTGGCTTACCAGATATACCTTTATCTATTTGGGTGCAGGTCTTCTAATACTTTCAGTTTCACCTGTTATGTATTTTTATAGTTTTATTTCTCAGCTTTAAAGAGGTTTTAATTGCAAATTAAGCGGTGGAGTTAGCAGTTTTCTGTTTAAGAAATTTTACTTTGAGTTTTTCTTGTTTAAATTTTTCTGTCTACATCTAATTCAAAATGGCATGTAATACAGTTCCCTGTGGCTATAATTGGGGAATAGATTTACAGAATTCTGTAAGTGATTTACTGTAGACTTTGTTATTTTTCAGTCAGTTTATTAAACACTGGTGATATTGAAGAACATAAGTGTCCTGGTGTACCTGTTTTTGTTCATCCTAGAATACCTGCGTGTGCTATCTTAACCCTATATTAACATGTGGCGGAAAGAGAGAATTGCTTAGTTATTTTTTCTAATACAATTTTACTGACTAGAAAAGTACATTTTACACAATAATGCAAAGTATATTAAAGTCATAAAGCATCTGTTAAGGGTTTTTTTTATTATCCATTTAGCAGAAACAGTAATTTTATTTTTTTATTTAAACTTTTTAAATTTCTGAAAGAATTCATACAAAGCAAACTTTCTTTTTTTGAGTGAACGTGCAGTGCAAAAACAGAGAATTACCCCAAGAATTATCCAGCCCTTAATGGAAATAATGGCTTTTGACAGCTCTAGGGTTAAATCAGTGGAGTGAGTTGTAACTCAGTTTGACTTGCAATGTTTATTTTCCGACTTGCTTGTTTTTGTGACCATGCTTTAATAATTAATTAAATTCAACTGTAAATATGCCTGACATTCTTTACAAATCCACTAGGTCTTCATTTATATGAATTTAGATACTGTGAAAAACTATACTTTGTAGTTGCTAACCACAAATTTGATGTATTCATTTGATTCTGGCTGGATCATTTCCAGTATTTCATGAGTGCACTTAAACAGAATTTAAAATTCTAGTCTAGTTTCTCTCTTGTTTTGTCAAACAGCAATATTATTTCCTTTGTTGGACTTCTGCTTTGTTTAAAAAAAGAAAAGCCATTAAAATATTTCCACTTTCAAGTAAACTGATGCAGCATGCTCTAGCTGAGTTCTCACTGCATTAAGTACTATATCTGAGCACTCCCTACCCCCATTAGATCAACCAGTCCCATGGGCCACACTTAGAGCTATGGGAGCTTATTTCCAGAGTGTCCCATTTTGATGCCATTCTTTTTAATTTTTTAAGATTTCAGTTGTTTCTCTCCTTAAATATGATAGCTATAACTCATGTTATCTGTATTGGTAATCAGTGAAATGATTTTGTATATCAAACTCCATTTGACATATAGTCCCATGACCAAGTACATTTAAACTGTTGAAATGTATTCTTGCAAATATAATATAAAATATAATTGTGCAAGAATATATTTAATATTCCATTAAATAATATTGAAAGAACAATATTCACCTTTTTTGTACTTTGCTTTTATAAGTTATGAACCTTATTGTCCTTCATATAGTCTCAGGTCACTTATTTTCTGCCATCCGTTATGGTCATACAGCTGTTTTAATGTTTACATCAGTATGGAAATCCTTTTCATATAATTTTTATAAAATGCATGATCATGTTATAAAGTTAAGAGTGGTGACTTTCGTATTTAGAAAACCTTGAAACAGGTTAGTTTGTTTAATTGTACTACTTAAATCACTTCTTCCTTTCTAATATGAATGGGTTTTAATTTAAATATAAATGGTGAAGAACCTGTATCAAGGTCTTAGCTCTGGGGTGGCCAGCCTGCAGCATGGGTGACACAAGGGGACATGACTGATTGGAAAGGGGACAGGTAGCACAGTGACAGATAGGGCAGGAGGCAGACAGCAGAGCAGCAGATAGGGTAAAGGAAGGATTGGAGTGGCATTTGGGGAAGGTTCAGGGCTAACTTGTAGCACACCTGCCAAAGAGATTGGCCTCCACCATTTTAGCTGTTCATTTTTCTAACATGGTTGTTTGTTTACATGTGAAATATTTTCATTTGTGATCTTTTGTGCAGGGAGCAGATGGAGGAACTCCCTCTCTGTCATCTAAAATTGTGATCATGGGGAAAATTTTGTAAACATTTTAGTATTAAAAAAAATGAAGCTCCAATCAAAGTTGAACTCAGTAGCAGTCTCTTCCACTCTTCCTACATAATACTGTCGAGAGGCAGTTAGCGGTGTTTGTCTGAAGTCAGCCAGAAGGCAGCATAGCATAGCACCTTAGAGACTAACCGGTTCAGAGAGGCATGAACTCTCATAGGCAACAGCTACTTTGTCATGTGCTGTGAATAAACTGACAAAAGAAAGAGTTTGTTTATTTAATAGTTAATTAAATGTATTGGATATATAATGTCATAGTCAAATTAGAGAAGATAGACTAGTATATTAGTCACTTTCTTTAGAAGTTTCCTATTTCTCTGTAAATATCATTGGAATATATGAAAAATGGAAAAGTAGCATAAAAAGACAACAATAGAAAATGCATACATACCTAATACAGGAGTATTTAAACTATCTCTGAACCAGATGTCTGGGAACACTGTTATTATCATATTTGTTGGCAGCTGCTAGATCATATAAAAAGCTACATAAATGTAATACTAGCTTAAATTTCTTTTTCTCATAAGCAATTACTGCAGTTTCCTAACTCCCAACCCCACCCCCTCACCTTGCTGGTGCAGGATGCACTATTCCTAAACCACCCAAGGCAGATGTCATTCCAGCATCTTTAAAACATCCAGTGAAGATCCCACAAGTTCCCTGAGCAACTTCTCAGCCTGCAGCACGCTGCAGATTGTGAAGAGGGTGTGTTCTATTTGCTGTGCAGCTGGAGAAGCAGAGTCTCCAGGAGACGCACTGTTTTAGAGGTTAGGGCAGGTGGGGCAGAGGCTGGAAGACTGTGCTGTGGCTTTTTTCAGAAGGGTAAGTACAGACATTCACTCTCCCAGTAGAAACTTTCCTGGGAGTAATTTAACCCTGGTTGTTTCCAAGTTATTTTTCTCCTGGAACAGCCTTTTTTACTCTGAGACAAAAATCTTGAACAGCTGTATACTAGTGGCTTCTCTTAGGAGAGCAGGAGCTCCCAAGAGAAACTCAGTATCTAAATGTGGTCTTGTATCACTGCCTTCTTACATGTAACAGTTACAACATAACTGCTGGGCATTCCTGAGTAGCACCATCCTCCCCTCCCCTTTGGAAACTGCTCC